GCCATTGGTGAAGGCTTCTGGGAACTGCAGTCCAAGAACTCCTGGGTTACCCACTGTTGGGAACCACTGCTGTATCTATCTATCTATCGATCTATCTATCGATCGATCGATCGATAGATATAGATAGATATAAGAGATGGAATTTTGCAGAATCAAGATAAGCTTGTTGTAGGATATTGTTGTCATGTTTTTTCAGAGCTTCATAGCTGAACATAAAAAAGGCTGGACTTACTTTTCTATGCCCGACATAGCTGTGTAAGATTAACTTACATTATCTTTGTGGGTTTATATGTACAGTAATTATGTGCATATCATATCACCCTCATCAGTCTTCCTCTTGGTTTTGTTGAAAGTCCACTTGGGATATTCATATTTTTATCCCAAGGAATACAAATGCCAGCACCACAGGTGGCAGCGGAAACCAAACCCTCCCCCCAGAACCTGCTGGTCCACCGCTCCCTGTGTGTTGCGCACGGCTGTCTTCAGTTGCACATCACCCATTGTGGAAGTAGTCCAGCTAGCTCTTCCCCATCTCTCCAAACAGCCGACCACTCAGCAGCGGAGTGGCAAGCCTCGTCATCCCACCTCCTCGATGGAGTGGCTGGCTGTGTGGAGAGGTGGGGAAGTGCCTGCTGGGCTACTTCTGTGATTGGCGCTATGCCGCCGATGGCGACCACGTGTGCTGCGTGGAAAGCAGTAAGTGGACTGGTGGGTTCTGGGGGGAAGGTTTGGTTTCCGCTGGCGCCTGTGGTGCTGATATTCATATCCCTCGGGATGTCACCATGTCTAGTTGAAAGCCATTGACTACTGATAGTCACCTCAGAATCCACAAGCAGTTTGGTGCAGGCCTATTGCGTGCTCTCTCGTAGCCATGCCCAATGAGAAACATCCTGCAAGACTGCAGTGTGCTTCCGCTAGCTTTCCCCTTTTGTTTTCAGGTTTGTTTTCATGCGTCTGCATTTATACTATTTTGCTAAGTATTACGTATATATGCCAAATCCTAGTTCAGGACTGTGATCAGAAGTAAATTGGCTGATCTCCGATTAGACCAATTATACCTATAAAACATGTTGCTGCTGAAGTAGTGCTAACTGTGGTACTCTTTCTGAAGCAGATGGAAGGGAATGCCTGTGAGATGGAAAGGGTGGAGAAGATGGGAATAAGAATTGCACGTGAGCCACAGTTTTAAGAGTTTCTTGGCACTACGTTTACACAGTCAGAGTTATTCTTTTATTGGGGTTCCTTGGTCTAACTGAAGTGAGTGGCTTTTCTTGTAGAAATTTAATTGCAATGCACTGAGACTGTCAGATGTCCAACTGCTGCGCCTTTAATAGCAACCACCTGTGAGCATTCGGCTGATGGCTATTTCCCTGACACACGGCTAGTAACAGTAAATGCTTATTGGAAAGCCATGGGAGCAGAAGCTGCTTCTAGCCCTAAAATTAAAGGATGTACTCTTGGAGTTTTCTGACTTGCAGATCTGAATGGCACACAGGGAACTTTTTAAATGAGGTATGTTGGAGCAATTCAGGTACTGCATTAGAGATCCAGGTTGAAATCCCTCACTGGGTAACCCTGGACCAGTCACTTTCCCTCAGCCTGACAAGTGGGGGAAATCAGATGCATGTGTGCTGCCTTTAGGTCATTGGAGGCATGCATGATTGGCTAATGAATTTTATAAAGAATACTGTACATTAAACAAATCTATACATGTGAAGAAACTTCAGCACTCTCTGGACCTGAGCTTACTAAGAGAAGCTAAATTAAATTACCATTTGTGGGATCTGTTTCCCCCCCCACATTTAGCAGTCCCCCGTCCCTCCCCCCATGCAAACTGGATATAGGAATGAATACATATCTGATGTAGTGAAATAATTCCTCTGGAGGAATCTGAGTTTGGCTTGCTACACCACTTCTCCCATTCTTACTCATAGTTTGGAGAAGTTATTGTTTCAGTGCATTCTGAAAATTCCCCCACAGCCACTGTCCATATGAGGAGTTTGTGAGAACTGCGGTCTGAAAAGTGATTCCCCCCCCCACCTTTTTTCTGTTTTATAAAATAGTCTGCACACCATATGCTGTAGTTTAGATGAAGGCTTTGAAACCTTCTGACTGTCATTAAAATCAGTAGGACCAAGTAGCCACAGTCTCAGGTTGTCTGAGCTCCCTTACCAGAAATTGCTGTATGAGTCAGTGACTCATGGATCAATCTGGATAACATTTCTCTCTAGCCTGGTTTGAAAGAAATCAGCCAGAACAGCAAACTGCATAGGAAATGAAAAGCTGCCGTGCTGCTAACAAATGGCCAATGGGAAGCAAGAAAGATCATAGCTGGAATGGAAAATTCAGTGTCTCATCAATGCTAAATTAACATTGAGAAAATGAGAGAGAGATTGAAGGGCTGCGTACTGTAGAATGCTTCTAACCCTCTCTCAGACAGGGTGGAGCCTGTGCAGCCTTGTAGAATCCAGATGTTGTTTGACTGCAAACTCCAGCGTAGTTAGTGGTGAGAGATGATGGGCGTTGTATTATCCTCTCCTTTTGGATCTTTGAGTGGTGATGGCCCTTTCTTACGTTTTAGACAATTACAGTTGAATTCAAAGCATGTTTTGCTCTCTGTTCTGTGGACTTTACTTTCAGATAACTTGCAGCAAAAGCAGTGAAGGGTCTCGTGGCACCTTAAAAGACCAGAAAGTTTTATTTGGCCTGAGCCTTCGAAGAAATGGAGCCTGCTTCTTCAGAGGTTCTGTCATACATTCTGCAAATAAAACATCTTCCATCTCTTAAGGCAGCACAAGTGGTTTTGCTCTCAACAAAGTAACTATATCTCTGAAAAGGTCTACTCTCCAGCACATCGGAGCTTAATTTTTGATCTACAGGATTGGTGAGGGAGGATTTTTTTAGCATTATGGAGCAGGAATGTTCTTCAGGCTGTGGGAAGGCAAGACATTTTGCCAAGTCTGGCCACATGGCTTTACTTAATATTGTGGCAGCTTTTATCTCCACTGGCGTTCATTTATATAAAAATATGGGAAAGAGCATATGCAGGTTGCCTTTTCAGTAGCTCCCTGCCCCTTTCTCACTTGCAATGAACAGTGATATAAGCTAAACCAATCTTGTTTTCCTGCATGTGTGCAGAGGTATCTGGGCAACACACCATACCCTATAAAGTGTCTTTCCTGAATAGACCTCCCTTTCTACAATTCACTGTGTGTTCTGAGTGCATGAATGCACCAAGCATGTGGATGTTGACTCTTAAACAAAATTAACTTCCCTCCCTCTCTTTGAAATGGTGCCAGTGGACTGTTTCTGGCTGTTGAATAATGGCAAGCGGGTTTAGAAAATGAAGAGGCCTTCTTCTTTTATCCCAGACGAGTGCAAAAATTCTGTTTGCAATTCAGTTAAACCTATTACCACTGACAGCTATTTTGACTGTGCATTTTCATTATGACCAGTTCTAAATATCTTGTGCTTTAAGCTGTGCATGGCCCTAGAAAAATAATGGTCTTGAGAACCAGTTAAATAAGTAGATCAAATAAACTGGGAGTGGGCAACTCACGGTGAGGAATTTATTTGACACTTTGCAGGCAAAGTCACTCTCATCTGCTCTGACTTGGATGCTAGTGTAGCTGACGGCAAAGTCACTCTCATCTGCTCTGACTTGATGCTGTAGCTGATACAGGTCCGGTGGATGTAACTTTGATCTCTGCCTGTCCCATTCTACTGGATGTGTTTCAGTTGGTGCAGCCAAAAGATGTGGACAGGAATCTTGGAGAGGTCTAAAAACCACCACAGGTGTGTTGGAGTCATGCTCTTCCTGACTTATAAAAGCAGGCAAAGGGGAACTGGCCAAGTGAGTAAGCGGAGTGGTAAATGCCTCCTTTCAGCAAGGCAGGGTGCCGGCATGCCTAAAAGAGGCAGAAGTAAGACTTTTGTTTGAAAAGCCTTTCTTGAATCCCTCTTTACTATTAATAATAATTGTGTGGTGTCATGTGAATCGTGACTTATTGCAACCCTTTTCAGGGTTTTCCAGGTAGGAAATACTCAGGAGTGGTTTACTGTGTTCCCTTCTTCTGGGGCCTCCCTGGGACTGTGCAGCTTTGGCTGTGCTCTCAGGACAAGTATTAGTCAGTCTCAAATATTTCAAGTTTGGGGAAGGTACTAGAGCGTGTGGTGGTTTCTCAACTCCAAGAATTCCTAGAGGAATCCATTTCAGTCCTCACTATGGGACAGAGACAGCTTTAGTTGTTTTGCAGGATGACCAATACCTGGAACCAGACAGGGGAAATGTGTTGGTTCTGCTAACCATCTCAGCAACTTTTGGTGCAATCAACCATGTCCTTCTGGGCCATCTTACTAAATGGCACTGTTTTACAGCTGTTTGAACCTTCCTGGAGGGGAGAATGCAGAAAGAAGGTGATGCTGGGAACTTGTGTTCAATGACACATCTGCATCCCAGCTGGATTACTGTAACGTGCTCTGTAACACTTTTGAAAGATAGCTTGGAAACCTCTATGACTTAGTCTCCGAATGCTAGCTTTCTGTTTTTCTAAGTTTGTTCTTAAACTTTTAAATGCTTTTAATTGATTGATTGATTTTTAATTGTTCTTACAGTTTAGTTGCTTTTAATCTGTTATTTATTTATTTATTTATTTATTGACATTGCTGATTTTTAATATTGCGAGCAGCCTTGGATCTCTGTATCAGGGGAAAGGCAGCATACACATGAGATTGATTAATTGATTGATTGATTAAATGAATGAATGAATGAATATCAATCTATCAATCTGTGACCTTCCAGATTTTTTTCTTCATTGTGCAAAGCCTGTCTTGGGTGGCTGGGTCTTACGGGAGCTGTAATAGATCTGGAAGGCAGCAGATTGCCTACCCAGAAATCCATGAATAAATATTGACAGTGTTACCCCTAGTTAAACCTAGTAAGACCAGTAGTCAGGAAATGGAATAAAAATATTAACCTTGTATTTCTTCTTGTATTTCAGATGTGGAAAGCCACCGCAGGCCATACCATCACTGTCAGCCAGGATGATGGTGCAGATGACTGGGAGACAGACCCTGACTTTGTGGTATAGTTACATACTGTGTTTAAGTCTAACCATGCTGTGTAAAAAGTGTAAATGCTAGTCTTGGGTTGAAAAATGAGCACTAGGCCTATTTGGGTTGGCTCAATCCACAGGAATATCCAGTTGTTCTCTATCAGATACTGAAAGGGGAGCAGGTAGACACTTTCTTCCCCACTGTTTTCTATACATTGAAAGTCGCAGGTCTACAAGGGAGGCATTCCTGCATCTGTTTAAGCTTTATGCACAGGCAAGAGCCCAGATTTTCCAGGATTCTTCTTTGCAATTGGAATCTTTTATGTGAGTAGGAGCGTCACCTCCACAGAACTGTCCCTTTCCTCATGCTGAAAGGAACAACAGAGAAAGAAGGGTTCAGGTCTCTTCCCTGGAAGTGTGATGACTACATCCATGTCGGGAACGAGAGAGTACTCACAAAGTTTCAAGCACATGAATGTGTAGCCTGCATAATTAAACTGCCCAGAGACTGCTTTTAACACAGTGTACAAGCAGCATACTTTGTGTCTGCTTTTGATTCTTATATGCAAGTGCAGATTTCATCCGGGTTGGATATGTTTGGCTGAGGAAGTTGTCCAGAGCAGACAGGACATGAATATGAAGTTAGCAAAGTTTGTGTTCTCGAAGGCAAAGTTTAATAATCTTAGGTTGATGGCGGCAAGGGAGGTGAGATGGTGGCAGCCATCTTTTTGTGTCTCAGCCTTTCTGTGCAAAGATTATTGCTGTGTAACCCCTTTTTTTGTCATGTGTTTTACAGAATGATGTGAGTGAAAAAGAACAGCGCTGGGGTGCTAAAACTGTGCAAGGATCTGGTCACCAAGAACACATCAAGTAAAATGCTTCTTTCTCTGCTTTGGAAATGTGCCTGTACTGATTCACAGTAACAATGCTGGAACACAATCCATTCTCTAGAGGTGGTTTTAAAAAAAAGAGGGGCTTTTTTGGTTCTTAAAAGTTCCACTGGAAAAAGCAGTTCTGTTCCAGAAGCAATTCTGTTACAAGTGGGTGGTCGTGACTCCTGGGGAATATCTGTTGTATTTGTCCTGGAGATGCGATTAATCTGGGGATGCAACTGTCTGATTTTTAGATCAGAGTTTTTATTTTCTTTGGGGAGGTTTAGCCAAGATCTTGAAGGCTGCACATTTCCCACCCTTGTTGTAGAGTAACAGGATTGTTTAGATGCAATGCACTTGGTCTTTTAATGAAATGTTTGAAGCTGATCAAGAATCCCAGGTTGTTGTAAAATTCAGGCAGTATGACCCCTGACTTGTCATTTGACTTTGGATAAGGGGAAAGAAGGTGGGAGTATAGGATCCTACAATCCACTCTTGGTCTTTCAATTGGTGGTTTAGAGTTTAATTCCATTACTTATCCACTATTTTATTGCATTGTTGTGACTGTCACCATTAGAGCTCAGCTGTTTTTCTTTTTGATATGTCTGGTGTTTTTGCATAAGGTGAAAACAATTTCAGATCTTATCTTCACTACAGATTACAGGTCTTCAGGTCTTTCGATTAAAGGACTATATGGCATAGTTATTTCCAGTTCTGCTTAGCCTCTTTTGAGTCACAGGCTGGTAAAAAAGAAAAAAAGATGTTAGTATCAAAGCTTGTTTGAAGTATTTATCTAGTCAGGAAAGCAACCGAAGCAAATAAGAAAACTAGCTTACCCATTTGGAGAACATTCTTGCAATAGAGTCTGGCAGCTATGAAGGCATTCATGATAGGTATTTGAACTCAGGGTTGACAAGAAATGCTGTTTGAAAACATAACTTTGTTGAGGAACCAGTTTTTCTTCTGTGCTTCGGGTAGCTGATGTAGTTTGAGCTAGAATGTCGCCTGGAAAATTTGGTGGCAGTTACCTTCTCCTAAGGGCATGTTTAAAACAGGATTGCAGATATTTTAGCTGCAAAAATTCTGGCTCCGTTCATCTATGGAAGGAAAGTCACTCCTGGAAAATTACAAAGATGCCTTTTTTTAATGTTGGGAAATGGGACCCAGCAACAAAATAACAACAGCAGGAACAACTTGCTTTTGGAGGAAATAGATTTTAGTTGTCCACATTGTCATTGAGGCATTGGGAACGACGCCATGGGATTTTATAAAATATTATAATCAGCTGCAGATTTCTAGAAAAACACAATTGGAGCTGCAAAAAAAAAATTAATAGTAATATTAGGAACAGCTTGCATACTACACCAATATTTAACTGATACTTAGATTTCTGGTTATAACTTGTATCTGTTACCAGTCAAGACTGTGCCTTGCATTTTTAAATCATGATGATGATCATCATCATCATAAAACTGCAGAGTTGGAAAGACGTCCTATGGATTGTAGGGTCCATCCCCTGTCGAGGGCACAGTGGGGAATTAAACTCCCAACCTCTGGCTCCACAGCCAGATAGCTAAACCACTGAGCTACGAAGCAGTTCTGTTACAAGCCACTTAGACCACATGTGGGCTATGGTGTCTGTTTTTAAGACACTTGTATTTCAGTTGGATTGCGTAAGTGATGGAGCAGAAGCAACAATTATCTGTCAATCCAGTGCCATAAAACAGAGGGAGATACTGTACCATAAATAGATTCAAAGCAGGTGAGGCAAATCAGTGAAGGACAGCATCTGTATAATTTGGATACTTCAAGAGATTTTTTTTAAAAAAACCCCCTCTGTGTTAATATCATTTTGCTTCCTTTATGGATTAATGAACAGTAGTAACCACAAACAAGAGGCTTGATGGTGACAAGCTGCATTCCATTCCATTTCACCTCGCCATTCCTTAACAGAGAGTTTCTTTTCCTTGCCCTAATCAGAGGTCTTATAAAGCACAGATGTTTTTTGTGGAAGCAACCGGAGCAGTGTGCCTTCACCCCAGTAGGGACTCGTGTGCTAGAACGTGGTCCCACAGCCAGTGCAAGACAACATCCTCATCCATTTACTGGACTGATGAGTTAATGTAATTTTTGATGGCAGTTCTTTCTGTCTTTTAATTATGTACATATGCTGGAAGGGAACACACGACATTTAGACAGAGCTGCTTTTTTATATGTGTGGAAATGAGTGAAATATTAGATTTGGTTGCAACTTCTACTTTTCCTTTATTTTAAAGCAGTAAAGAAGAAAATGCAAGCAGAAATGCAAATACTAGGCTGATAATTTGAATATAAGACCATAGCAGACTTTGGTCAGTATTACAAGAACAAGCCTAGCTCCTCCACCTGAGGCTTGTGCCCGCACTGCCTTCTTGTGGGGTGTCTGCAAGGCGGAGGTTAGGAGTCTTCACCACCCTTTTAGATTGACAGTAGCTTGACCTGTTTGTTGTTTAAAGCAAGATAATCTGTGTTTATTCTAATTTAATTTAAAATGGCTCCAAAATAAATAATAATAATTTTAGCCACAGTCATAGACTAATCATAGTCTATGAAACAGTCTTCTTTTCATTAACCACAATGAAGAGTAACTCATTTAGATTATGTGTTAAACTGCAGTTAACCTGGAAATTAAAGTGGAAATTCTTGATCACTTCATGATTGTACCACAGCAGGAGATAAGAGCAGGAAGTCCATGTCTGGGATTCTGTTGAACACTGATGTAGTGAAAAGCATTTTATTCGCATTGTTTTGTTTGTGTTGAAAAGTATTCATCAGCTAAGGGAGAATGTATTTCAAGAGCACCAGTCTCTCAAGGAGAAAGAACTTCAGACAGGACCAAAAGCTTCTCATGGCTATGGCGGGAAGTTTGGTGTGGAACAAGACCGCATGGACAAAGTAAGTGTTGACGGACTTGCATGGCTGATATGCTTAAGACGATCTGGGTCTGTTAAGTTGTTAGAGCTTTTGTTGCCATGTATGTAGGTCTCCTGCCTGTTCTTCTGCCTCCCAAGTGAATGCTGCTTTTCAATGTCTTCTTTTGCTAGGGATCCTAGGGTAGCAGAGAATTTGGCTCAGCCTGCCATGGCAGTCTGCCCAGCTCTTAATTTTGTCTTCTAATTATGGGAAAATGATAGTACTTTGTGTCATGCTTGAATACTCACCTTTCATGCGTCGTATGAATATGTGGAAGGAGTAACATACAGTGGCCTTACTTTGCACATGGTTACTGTACACCACGTCGACACTCCCTTGATGAATGTTTCTTTGGAGCAGCTTTCTGTAAAGATAGCCTACATGAAACGAGGGGTTGTGGCCCATCAACTCCTGCCTCATAGAAGGTCTCTGTGTACACATAGGAGCATAGGAATCAGACCTTTGGTCCCTCTCTCCCAGTGCGGTCAATTCTTTACTAGCTGCAGCTCTGATCCCTGGTGGTCCCTCAGCCAGGAATGAGTCTACTTGTCTTCCAAAATCAAGTGAGCACTCTGAAATCAGAAAATAACTGACACAGCATTACTGTTTGCCAAAGGGGTGTTTGGGGGGATGTTGGTCACTGTGTGTAGATCAGCAGTAGATCAGGCTGGTCCTCACTTTCCTGTGCATTTTCTTCCCCCGCGTGGAGGAGTGTGTTCCTCTGGATTGAAATGTAACCACAAATTTTTGGAAGGAGAGATTGCTTATACAGCTCAAGGACCTGGTTTTGTTTCATGAGGCCAAACCAAATATTACACTATACAAATAACTGTTGTCCAAGATGGTCATTGTATGTCTAGCCACGTCCTCTGTGACATCACTGGTAGAACCTGTGGGTGTCCTGGTGTTACAGTGATGTGTATTTTTCCTCCCAGTTTCTATTTTACATGCTGATGGCAAACACAGAAAACACTCTGTAAAATGGCTAAGTATACAGTTACAGCAGGGAAGAGTAGCAAAACGTGCAGTTTTGGTGCTTGATGTCAACCATGTGTTAGATGTAGATAAAGGTAAAGGCTCCCCTTGACAGTTTGTCCAGTCATATCCGACTCTAGGGGGCGGTGCTCATCTCTATTTCCAACCCATAGAGCTAGTGTTTGTCCGAAGACAATCTTCTGTGGTCGCGTGGCCAGCGCAACTAGACTGGGAACGCTGTTACCTTCCCACCGAGGTGGTACCTATTTATCTACTCACATTTTTATATGCTTTCAAACTGCTAGGTTGACAGGAGCTGGGACAAGCGACGGGAGCTCACTCCGTTGCATGGATTTGATCTTACAACTGCAGGTCTTTTGACCTTGCAGCACAGAGGCTTCTGCGGTTTAACCCGCAGCCCCATCACGTCCCTCATGTGTTAGATATAACATTAGGCTAACCTAAGACATGCATGATTATAAAAATGAATTTGTATATGCACAGAGAAGATTCTCAGATTCTTATCATTCCCTTAGTCACACTGAACAGTTCTTTGTTTGGTAACTCTGTGGAAAGATCAACTGTAGGATTTCCAACAAAGTGCCCCAAAACTCAGAATTTTACTTCTGATTCTATTTCTCATTTATCAAGGTTGTTTCCAACTTTCTCTAGTTAAGAGAAGTGAACCTAAGAGTGTATGGGTCCATTCTTGGTAAAGAGCCTAGGGTTTTTATACTCTCTCTCTCTCCCACTCCCACTCCCAGATTTTGGAATACAGGTTTCAATTATTTTAATCTTGGACATCTAGTTCTCTTTCCCATATATATTTTATTACTGAGTGGGAAAGAGAACTAGATGTCCAAGATTAAAATAATCAAATCCTGTATTCCAAAATCTGGGGGCCTGGGGAGGACGCACGCACCAGCACCAGCACCAGCACCACCTCATTTACTTCCACTTGTGTGGTTCTTAGTCACTATAATAAAGAGTGTTGTCTCTGCAGCCAGTGTCATCTGATACTGAAGAACTGAGGAAAGAGAATTGTTTTATGATATGAGACCTGCAGCAGCAACCCCAGAGGACTTATTTTTAGTTCAGTGTAGGCTTGATGAAGAAGAAAAAAAATTCCAAAGTATGTTAATTCTGAATACAGAGTTTGAGGAAATACCTCTTGGTCAGAACTGAAATCCTTTCAGCTGATGAAATAGGTTATGATTTTTCTAGTGTGTAGCTTTCATGTTTTTTTTTAAAAAAATCTGATCTGCTGCCTGAACTTTATATAAGCCAAGTGCAATTTAATTGACCACGCTGCAGTCAAATACAGTTGTTTTGTTTTCTAGCAATTCCAAACAGAAGTCTATTTTGCTTTCCTCTTCTCCCATGCCAATAACAAATGAAATAAAAATAAATGCGGAAATTGTAAACCACACACTAGAAAAGCTGCTCTTTGATAAAGAATAAAATATACTTTATCTCTTTTGCCCTGCAGAAATAAAAATGTGCAGACCAAATGTGGAGGAAATTGTTAAAGCTTGATAAAGACTTTGAGAAAAGAAGGGTAGGGGCTTTCTGCAGGAGAACACCATAACATAATACAACACATTGCACATGGGAGATACAGGTGTTCCTGAAATCCTCTCAAACTTTGCAAGGTGCTTGTTAGTCAACATACCAACAAGGAGGGCAGACAGTGTTTAGTAGTTTGGGACAGATGGAAATGTGTAGTGTTTAATGGCAATCATATGACCTGCTTGCATCTCTAGATTGTGTTGCAAGAATATGGCTAGTACGCTGACTTTATCACTGACTTCTTAGAAGCAAAAAGGCTTCAGTCAATGAAATAGTGAGTTGTGCATGCTAGAGGACATAAGAAGAGAGGGAGAAATTAGTGGGAAAGGATTAACATGTGAAAAGATAATAAGCTTAGAATAATTTGATCACGTTTGCATTGAAAAGGGAAAATTTTATACAATTTATTTCATTCTAAATTAGTGTTTAATTTTGTTATACTGTTACACTAAAAGCCTTCCCAGAATCAGGATGAAAAATCCTGTTCATGATTTTACTACTTTCAGTCTTCAGCAATTAACTTTGAAATAAAAGGGGGTGGTGGTTTAAGTACACAGCTAAGCTTTTGTTATTTAATGTACTTTAAACTCTCTAAAAAGGATAAAAGTAATTGGAGTGCCCTCTTCAGAAAGTATATTAATGTGAGCACACTGCCTGAGGAAGAGGCGGTCATGCACCGGTAACAAAAGGCTGCTCTTTACAGAGTCAATAATACTGAGACAACTTCCAAGTCATCTTTAAAACGGCAATATAGAAGCTTATCTGGAAAGAACAGTCTTCTGAAGTGAAATTTCCTTGCCTTATATTCTCACTTGGCTGTCTACAGGTCACTGTATCCAATTTTCTACCACACACTACCTCTATGGACCATTGACACAACTGAAAACTAGTGACTTTCTGTTTTCTAGAAATAATTTAATTTGTGAAATGCTTTTAGAAGTTTGCATTTGGAGAAAAACAGCCATGGACTGCAAATGGGGGTTAATCTCAGATAATTTATCTGGCCCGTCTCATAAACACTGAAATCTGTGGTGAAAATTCTAAAGTTGTTTTTATATTGTATTATCTTTTCTGTAGCAAGAGCAGGAGCGTGCTCTTTTAAAGGGCAAGAACCTTATTATAGAATAACTTGAAATTTGTTTTTATGTCCAACTTCTTCAGAAACGTCTCCAAAGACAGCTGTGCTTAGTGCAGAGGTCATGTGAATTATAATGTCTTAATCCTCTACTTAAGGTCAAAGGCTATTCTTGCTCCAAATACAGACTTTTAAAAGTACGTGTCAAACTAAATTATCTATGGAAAACTCAAAGCCAATGAATGTCCCAGTAAAGTGTTGAGGGGGGTATGAAATTGATTGTTATATCCAGTAAAAGGCAATACCAGACGGGCTACTTAGCTTGATGGTGATGCTCCATGTGCCATTTTCTGCAAATCCTGCAGTTCATTTGAAAACTACTAATTTAATGAACACATGAATAGTGCTAATTCAATACATTTTAAAAATCCATTTTAGACTTTAACAGTAATAAATTAATTTGTTGTTCCAATTTCTACATTTTGGTTACGTTTCATTGGCTAGGTCTGGGCCATTGACAGAAGTAATGGGTGAAAGAGGAGAATTGTTTTACTTTATGTGGGTTTTCATCTAAACTTCATCTCTATTCAAGATTAAAGTTGAACCAGAGTATGTGTAATACTGTAACCCAACCAGTATATGCATGATGTAATAAATGTGTTTTTAAAATCTTCTTTCAGTCAGCTGTTGGTCATGAGTATCAGTCCAAGCTTTCTAAGCACTGCTCCCAGGTGGACTCAGTGAAAGGTTTTGGTGGGAAGTTTGGTGTGCAAGTTGATAGAGTGGACCAGGTAAATGTCTAAATTAATGTTTGTGTTTCTAGAATTAACTTCCCTTGTGGCCAGTTCAGATCTTAAAGGAAAAATGTTTTTCTTTCTTCCTGTCCTGTTTTTTTTATTTAAAATTTGATACTTATTTCTGGGTATACTTCTCAAGAGGTAAAGAGAAATATGAGTAAATTTTGTTCAAAGAAGTGGCATTAAAATCCTCACAAATAATATATAGTCTATATTATTTCATCATAGAAAAGAATGCATAGGAAAGATCTGGTGTATTGCAAACAAAGCTGAGAAGTTGATCCAAGATAGATGGAGGAACTTGTAGTGAAAGTAATTCGCTGAGATTTTTAATATACATTATGTTTGATTGTGAGGTTCCTTAACTGATATCATTAAAGATAGTGTACATGTTGATTTGCCTTTAACAAATAGCTGTCTTTAAAAAAAAACAGTTATAGTGGCTCATCAGTTATAATTTTACGCTTCATGCTCAAACCTATTATTCTTTTTTCCAGTCTGCTGTGGGATTTGAATACCAGGGGAAAACGGAGAAACATGCTTCTCAGAGAGGTAAAGGCATTCTGAGGAATGTCTGTACAATTCCAAACAAATATTACTCACCTGCAGGATTCTACTCTGTTCTCTTTAGATCAGTGAGTCCCAACCTTTTTGACACCAGGGAATAGTTACTTGAAGACTATTCTCCCATGGGCTGGGGCTAGGGTGGAGAGCGTCCGTGTATGCGCGTGGGGTGGGCGTGGGGCTGCGTGCGTCCATGCGGGGTGCGTGTATGTAGGTGTGCATCTATGCGTGCATGTGGAAACGTGTGCTAGTGTGGGCTGGTGTGGGTTGTGTGCGTGCATGCAGGAGGTGGGTGGGCATCCGTTTGGGGAGTGTGTGAGTATGTGTGCATGCGGGAGTGTCGGTGGGCAGGAGAGTGCGCATGCGCATACGCGCACATTACTTCGACCGTTGAAAATCTGTCTTGGCAGCCCAGTCCTTCCAAGGCCACAGACCCAGACTGGTCTGTTACCTGGGGGTTGGGGACCCTTGCTTTAGATGAGAGCAAAAGAAACAGGTCTATCTGATCTGTTGTTCAGAGCAGCAGTTAACAAATGATATGGATAGAATAATTTTTTTAAAAAGGGGAGATAAATGATATGGTATCTTCCAACAGCAGAGTCTTTTTCTTCTGTCTTATGAACTACTCCTAAGTGGCAAACTAACACCCACCCCTCAATAACACTATTGTGGCACCTTTAACACTAGCAACGTCATTTCAGCTTGAGCCTTTGTTCATGAAGTCTACATTTTCAAATGCGTGAAGCACAACATCTGGGTAACAAGGTACATGGTGGTGGGGATGGGAGGATTACGAAGTGGAGTAACAATGGTAAAATAACAGAGTTTAGCTAGCTCATATTTGGCTGAATCTGTGCCCCCCCTTCAGATTTTGAATGAATAGTGTTTTGAGGGTTCTGGATCTGGCAGTCTAGTAAAATAACCACTTAGATTCACATTGCAACCATATGTCTTCCTGTCCTCCACTGCCAACAGCCAGTAATCTGTTAATGTACTCTCAAGTGGTATTCCTTCACCTAAGATTTGAAGAGTTTGCCTCCAGGTACACAAAAGCTGAACTCTGTATGGGCAGTGTTGTAATGGAGGTGCTGTTTCAGTAGCAGTAAGAAAGGAAGACAAGGATTTTGGTGGTCGAATAACATTTAGCAAGATCCAAGATTCCATTCTTGGATTCACAGTTGCATCTCATGCAAATATACACAGAGTCAGTAAAATAAAATGTCGTAATTTTCTTATATCCCACAGCAGTTGCAGCAGTTGTATCAGTAGGAGATAAATAGGCAGCTAATAATAACCATAGCCTTTCTTGACATCTGTACCCAAATAAACAAAATTTATTCTAAAATATAAACAGAAGCTTCTGAACTCTTTGTCATGTCTATTCCAAAGGAGGGGGAGAATGCAAGTTCCAGGCTTGCTGTACCTTGTTGTTGTAATGCCAAGTTGTGTGAAGAAGGATCTGATCTGATCTGCTGTGCTTGATAAATGATGGAGGGAAGAAAGTGTGTGAGACTCTTAGATTTTAATCACTACTAATTTGGTAGAAAAACTTAGTTTTTAAGTAGGCAATGGATTTTTCTTTTTCAGGGCCTTGCTTTTAAGTGTACTGCAGAAGTTACTGCCTTGCTGTGGTGTTGGTACATTCTGTCAAGTCACAACCTGTGGTGACTCTATGAAAGAACAGCCTCCAAAGTATCCTGTCACTAAGAGTACTGCTCAGTTCTTGCAATCTCCAATCTGTGGTTTGTTTATGGAGTCAATCCATTTCATGTTTGGTATTCTTCATTGAGAGTTCCAGAAAAACATCTACTTCTGCTTCATTGACTATGCAAAAGCCTTTGACTGTGTGGACCACAGCAAACTATGGCAAGTCCTTAAAGAAATGGGAGTGCCTGACCACCTTATCTGTCTCCTGATAAATCTATATGTGGGACAGGAAGCAACAGTTAGAACTGGATATGCAACAACTGATTGGTTCAAAATGGGGAAAGGAGTATGACAAGGCTGTATATTGTCTCCCGACTTATTTAACTTATATGGAGAATACATCATGTGAAAGGACTGGATGAATCCGAAGCCGGAATTAAGATTTCCGGAAGAAATTTCAACAGCTTCCGATATGCAGATGATAGCACTCTGATGTCATAAAGTGAGGAGGACTTAAAGAGCCTCTTAATGAGGGTGAAAGAGGAGAGTGCAAAAATGATCTGAAGCTCAACATCAAAAAAACTAAGATCATGGCCACTGATCCCATCACCCAAATTCATGTTGGTAGCTTCGGTGACACTGTCCAACCATCTCATCCTCTGTCGTCCCCTTCTCCTCTTGCCTTCACACTTTCCCATCATCAGGGACTTTTCCAGGGAGTCTTCTCTTCTCATGAGATGGCCAAACTATTGGAGTCTCAGCTTCAGGATCTGTCCTGCCAGTGAGCACTCAGGGTTGATTTCCTTCAGAATGGATAGGTTTGTTATCTTGGCAGTCCAGGGGACTCTCAAGAGTCTCCTCCAGCACCACAATTCAAAAGCATCAATTCTTCAGTGGTCAGCCTTCTTTATGGTCCAGCTCTCACTTCCATACATCGCTATTGGAATAACCATAGCTTTGACTATGTGGACCTTTGTTGGCAAGGTGAGGTCTCTGCTTTTTAAGATGCTGTCTAGGTTTGTCATCGCTTTCCTCCCAAGCAGCAGGTGTCTTTTAATTTCGTGGCTGCTGTCACCATCTGCAGTGATCACGGAGCCCAAGAAAGTAAAATCTTGTCACTGCCTCCAACCCTGAATGCTCACTGGAAGGACAGATCCTGAAGCTGAGGGTCCAATACTTTGGCCATCTCATGAGAAGAGAAGACTCCCTGGAAAAGTCCCTGATGATGGGAAAGTGTGAAGGCAAGAGGAGAAGGGGACGACAGAGGATGAGATGGTTGGACAGTGTCACCGAAGCTACCAACATGAATTTGACCAAACTCCGGGAGGCAGTGGAAAACAGGAGGGCCTGGCATGCTCTGGTCCAACAATAACAACAATTCCTCATTTACTGCTGCTTTCAAGTTTTTCTAGCATTATTGTATTTTCCATCAAATATTTCCCACTAAGAAGTTCCCCTAAATTCCTGTACAGTATGCCCATTTTTTTTTAAAAAAAAAATTATTTTTGCTCAAGCTGGAAATGTAGCTGAACAATCTCTCAGTAGATGAGAAGGAGGGAAGTTGTTCCAGCTTAGTTAAAGACTAGGCACAAAGTCCTCATTCTGTCAATATTTGTTATGGTAGAGGCCTGGCCCATCCATGTGGATAACCTGCAGTCCTCTCTTCACTGTTGAACAAGAATTGTTTGAATATCTGTGTTTCTCAAGCAAGAATCAGGCCTTCCTGCATAGCCAGTTTCCAGCATTCTAAAGACTTCACAAAACTGCAAGTTCTAGAATTATGTATGAGGGTGCCATGAGACTGAAAATGCTGGAACAATATACTATAGATTTTTTAAAAAATTATTTTCTAAATGGCAGTGTTGAGATGCAATCTTGATTAATATTCATGAGCAATCCTGTGTACTTGTCGTGTTACTTGAATCAAGGAGATGAAATTGTGCGCCATGTTTTAAGTTTTCCTATCTCCTTTTTGATAATATTCCTGCTCTAGTTGTCACTGAATTCCAAAAACATGCACCTTAATACTCTATTAACCAATCTTTATTATTTCTAAGAGGAAGAACTGAAATAAAAAGGAATGTCTCCAGCTTTCCACTTTTGGGTGTGTGTGTGTGTAAGGTCCAGTGATTTTAACTCTGTGCTCCATGAGAGAGAATGAGTATAAAACCATGGGGTGATAAATATGAAATTAGGCAAATACAGATGTGACATGTGGGCTAAATGTTACTGAAAGAAGTATTATCAGTTTTCTTTCCGTTTCTGATGGTGCTATGATGATGTCCAACAAAATACCAATTTCCTTGGTTCTCTCTTCTCAGATTACTCAAGTGGATTTGGTGGAAAATATGGAGTACAGGCTGACAGGGTAGACAAGAGTGCTGTTGGATTTGATTACCAAGGAAAAACAGAAAAGCATGAATCACAGAAAGGTTTGTTTCAAAAATTCAGTAACTTGTGGTATGCTCATTAATTTTTTGTGATATGTTAGCGCGTAGAACATCTCTTCTCTTCACAGATTTAGGGGCAGATTCACCTCATGTATGTATCATCGGTTCATTTTCAAGGGGGCATTAGTTCCCATGGTTTAGATGATACAAAGAGCACTTCCAACTCCAAATTTGTTAATGTTATAAATGCTGAGAAGCTTTACGTTGTTGTTTTTTTAAGTAGAGGCCCAAATCCTGTTGTTAGCATAACTGAGGTGGCATAACACTTGGTGGGAAATTGGTACAACCTACAAAGTCAGTGTGGACATTATTTATTGCAAGCTGACTAGTGTGATTTCCTGCACAACAGAAATGTCTGTACTGACTTTGTAATATGTGACCATTGCATTGCCAAAAGTTATACTATTTATGTTATTCCAGAAATAGGAGTTTGACCAGAAAATCTTAATTACTACAGTGACAGAAAAAGAAATGATGTATTAGAGCACTGTCAGAATTTGGATTAAAGTCTATATTAGTTGTGCAAAAATGCATTTACTGAAATGAATAGAACTTATTGGGCAAAACTAAACTAAGCCCCATTAATTTCAAAACGTCTATTCCATGTAAGATAAGTGGTGGCTTTTGTCCTTTATTTGATTTTAAATTTATCCCACTATTTCTAACAAGCTCTAGCCATTTTATGGCAAACGTTTAGAAATTAAATCATTCCTCTGTATCCGGGGCGAATTTTTGGACTGGAATCCCATACACCCTAGGATTGGCTATCCTGGCTAAGGCTGATAGGACTTAATAGGCCAAAAATACTTGGAGAGCCACAGTTGCCCTGTCCTGCTCTATTACATAAAAATGAAAGCAGCAGCAGCAGCAGAAGAAGAAAGTAGAATAGATTACAGTAGATACACACAGTAGATACACACACATGCACGCGCACGCACATGAGACTAATTTTAAAAATCAACTAAATTTATTTTTGAAGGAAGTTGAAAGAAAGTTTATGGCATGGCCTCTGAAAATATGTCCTTAGTAGCAACGTAATATCTCTGTGATGTTACTGGAACATGTAAGAGGGTTATTACTTTTTGGTGATAATGAGCCAAGATTTGTTTACTATTGTCCAAGTATGTGCAGGTGTGTGTAACATAAGCATTCACTAGTCAGTTGGCTTTTAACTGTTACATCATGAATTTCACATTCATGATGTAAGAATAACCCTGCCAGGTTGACTCCCCTGTCCCATCGGTCACCTTGAGTCTATCTGTTCAAGGGATGTTGCCATCTTTTAATGTTTTCTTTGAAAAAGCGCTTACAGTGGTGCCCCGCAAGACGATGATAATGCGTTCCATTGAAATCGCCGTTTAGCGAAATCATCGTCTTGCGAAAAGATTTTCCCCATTGGAATGAATTGAAACCCGTTTAATTCGTTCCCATGGGGAAAATAGTCGTCATTGTGTGAAGATCGCCCATAGGGAAGCCATTTTAAATCGCTGTCTTCCGAAGCGCCCTAGGGAAGCCATTTTGCGGAG